ATGAGCACACACACACAACTACATATCCAATATCAGCTGATACCGATAGATTAAAAATAAAAATTAAATATCACCCGGTATTTGATATGGAACCATTATATCCTACATCCCTTGAAACTTTTCTAAACAGAGCATTGACATACAACATAAATATGACGAATCTGTGACATTTTCTGTGCTTTCTTAACCCCTAGCTGTTCGTTTCGGCCGTATCCCAAAACGCGAGAAACAGCGTATGCTGGCCGAGATGCAGAACGCCATGAACAACATGGTGAACATCCAGCTTCAGAATGAATTCCAGCTGGCGAGCATCACATCCAACACCCCCTGCTCTTCCTCTTCCTCATCTCCGTGCCCGCGGCTTACAGTGGGACTGCAAGCCCAGCCCCCCGCAGTGCCCATAGCACCGTCCCCTTCCCCTCCGACCCCAACCTCCCCATCGGTGCAGCTGGCTCGGAGTCCCCCATCTCTGACTTCTTCTCCACCACTGTGCTCCAGTCCAGGTGTAGACAAAACCATTGCTGCCATAACCAGAGCACACCGTGAGACCTTCGTCTACGCCCATGATAAGTTAGGTCCAGCACTGCTGCCCCAAAACGATGAGCTGGACAACCGAAGCAGAAACCGCTGCATGACTGAATACCACCTCAATGGCCACAACACCATCTACCACCATGATAATAATGTCGCTCATCACTGTAACAACTTCGAGGTGCCACCAGACAGTGGCCTCCATTTTCAAGCCTCCCAAGCACCTGGGCAACATCATCAGCACAATAACAACAGCCAGCGACCTCCAAACAGTAACCTCTTTGGCGTCCACCACAGTCAGGAGATGAACAGCAGCTCCCAGGGGCAGAACTGTCCGTGGAAAAAACGCAAGGAGATTCTGCTGGTAAGACCTTTGATATTTAAATCAATGACTCTAAAGGTGATTACCAAGTAAATAAGACTTGGAAGTGACGATGATTCCTTTTTTCCAGGCTTGCCCAATGAACATGCATCCTTACTCAGACCCCAACAAAACACCACAGGAAATCTGGGAAGACTTCTCTCTTAGCTTCACCCCAGCGGTGCGAGAGGTGGTGGAGTTCGCCAAACACATCCCAGGGTTTAGCACGCTACCCCAGAACGACCAGGTCACTTTGCTGAAGGCCGGAACGTTTGAGGTAAGTTGATGGTGTTTTATTTAAAACATCTGATTTGTGTCAAGACCACGATGCCAGTTACGCCTTGATGGTTTTACTAAGTGCGTATTTGTTTTTGATTATCTCCTGCAGGTCCTCATGGTGCGCTTCTCCTCTCTGTTCAACGTAAAAGAGAGAACCGTAACGTTCATCTCAGGCATCACTTACAGCCTGGAGGCCCTGAAAAGCATGGGCATGGGCAATCTGCTGGGAACCATGTTCGACTTCAGTGAAAAACTCAATGCATTAGAGCTCTCAGCAGAAGAACTGGGGCTCTTCACTGCAGTCGTGCTGGTGTCTGCAGGTAGGTTGCATACTAGTGTTAAAGGGAAAGTTCACTCAAAAATGAAAACTGTGATCATTTACTCACCCTCATGTTGTTCCAAACCCATAAGACTTTGGTTGATGTTCGAAACACAAATTCAGATATTTTTAATGAAACCTCAGAGGTTTCTCTTCCTCCATTGAAAGTCTATGTAACCAAAACTTAGAAGATCCAAAAAAGTCATTGTAAAACTAATCCATATGAATTGAGCAGTTTAATCCAAGTCTTTTGAAACAATATGATCGCTTTATATGATGATTTATGACCTTTTGGTTACCTGGAACTTCAATGGATGGACAGAAATCTCTCGGGTTTCATAAAAATGTCTTAATTTGTGAAGATCAACCAAAGCCTTGAGTTTGAAACAACATGAGGGTTGATAAATGATGACAGAGTTTTCATTTTTGAGTGAACTATACCTTTAATAGGATAAATCAAATCATGTCATTCCAAACCTTCAAAAATATCTTTCTTCTGTGGAACACAAAAGTACCTTAGTTTGATCTACTAATTAATTCAATCTGTCATTGTTTGTTTCTGTTGCACAGACCGTTTTGGCATTGAAAACGTGAATTCAGTGGAGATGCTTCAGGAAAGTTTAATCCGGGCTCTCCGAACCCTCGTCAGCAAGAACGCCCCTAATGACACCTCCCGATTCACCAAGCTGCTGCTCAAACTTCCTGACCTGCGCACGCTGAATAACATGCACTCAGAGAAGCTGCTCTCTTTCCGCATTGACGCCTGAGGTTGCAAGAAGCTGGTGAAAGTGGGTCACTGAAAGACAGAACGGGCACAAACATTAGAACTCTTTTCCAAGAGAACCCACCAGAAAGCAAACTCATGCCTAAGGTACTTAAAAGCACTTGATGACACATTTAAAGGGACGCTTTGGTGTCTAATGGTCGGTCAGTCGGTTTATGGCTTGATAACCATATAGGGCAGATTAAAGGGTCCTTGAGCCAATTTCAGTACTTACCTGAAATGGGTGGTAAGATTAAGCTAATAATAAAGCAGACAAAAACACTCACATTTGGACTGCATCTACATGGGGAACAAGTGCAAAATGCCTCTTGCAAGGAGTCACAGCCAGGCCAGAAGGATCTCCAGGCCACTTCCAGAGAGGGGACGACAGCACAAAACCGTCAAGCGTCTCCTCATACCCAGTCCGTCCTGGGTTCCTGCTATACCCACACTCAGAGAAAATTATGATCATTGTAACTATAATGCAAGCTATGCGTGGTATGAACATTCACACACATTCACATCCCTGTGACTTTGTAAAATATGTGTAAATATGATATACATACTTTAAATGTTTTAAAATGTATAATATATATATATTTTTTGTAATGTTCACATGCTCAACACAGATGATAAATCTATTCAAGCACAGATATATAAGTAGAGTGTATGCATATTATAGAATATCAAGACATGTATTTCAGTTGTTTTCTTCATAAAGGCATTTTATGAAACAAGAATGTAGTGTTTTATCTTTTTCAAGTAGATATCTGGAAGAAATATCTCTATGTAATGTTTTTAACTTGCATCTTGAATAAATGTTGGTTTATCTGTACTGAACACGTTTATTACATAAAGTACTATATATAGTATACTAGGTATACTAAGAAGTTGCTTTTCAATGTCAAGAGAGCACTAGGCAAAATGTATCATCGCTGTCCTCAATAGTAAGGTTAAGGTGGGTCCTCTAGTGGGAGCTGATGTGTGTACCAAGTATGGAAGACAGAAAATTATGCCAATTCTTTTCCATAAGCTCTAACATTAAACAGGACTGAGAATTAAACTAGTACTTTATGTTCAAAATTTTGGGATCAGTTCAATTTGATAATACTTTATTCAGCGCAAAAAAAAGAAAGAAATATAAATAAATAGAAAAGTTAATGTATATTGTAAAAATATTTCACTGCACACATATATGTGTGTGTGTGTGTGTGTATATATATATATATATATAAAACCCCAACCCCAAGCATTTGAACGGTTATACATAGATCAAGGGAAAAAAGTGGAAATTTACATACGTGACATTAAATAATACTGAATCCTTAACACACAATAGAATCACTATACCTACCACAGGAAATACAGGAAAGTTTTTGCAAAAAGTTAAAACATTCAATAACAGTAAACACGAGTAATCAGAAAACATTGAGCAAGTGAGGGAAAAAATGGGGAAAAAACACAATACCTACCCTCATTAATTATAAATCAACTCATTACACTGACTTGAGTAAATACTACCAAGAAATAAACTGGCACTTTTTTAAAATGACAAAGCGATGTGAAACGAAAAAAGGAAAGTATGTTCAATTAGCTATGCAAAAAAAATACTGATTACGAGATACTACAAATTCTGTATAAGATCTTTTTAAGGCTTTTATTACATACACAAAACCAGATTTTATTCAGGATAAACCAGAGGGACAGAAAGCAATAGTTTACTGAGGTGATTACGAAGGACTCAAAAGGTCAAAAGTCATTATCTGATCTAAAAAGGTGATTGTCTAAGCACATCACGTAGTCCAGGCCCTTTCTTATTGCAGGCACCAGAATAAACCAAGAATATGCGAGTGCTCTCCACACACATGGACCCAGAACTGGGTCATTGTGCCCTCATAATCACTTTCACAGCTCCCTATTGGCCAAATCCAGAGCAAACCTCACATCTTATTTGGCCAATGAGAGCAGCTCCTGTTGTGCAGCGCCTGACGGCGGATAACTAGTTCAGAAAGTGGAGTCATGCTCTAAGTGCCAAGTGGAGTATGTCAGAACAACCACAGGAAGTAAAAAATGACTGTGAATTTGATCTCTTGTTTCATAACAAGCCCGGGGGTGGCCAGAAGCCAACGTGATAGCAGCTTTTCGTGTCTGAGATGGAAATATACAACACTTCAGAAGTGAACAATGATTCTACACAACTGTTGTGTAGTTAAAAAAAGGGGGGATTAAATATGCAGGCAGCAGAAGAACAAACTTGAGTCTCCAGATATAGTCTAAATCGTTACCTAACCTGTTATGTCAGACCATAGCGGATGGAACCATATGCATGTGATGCTTTTCACAGGAAGTGCTGCCCTCTAGTGTGGAAAAACAAGAGCTGACTGTAAATCAGAGGGAAGTGAAAACCGGATGCCATTTAATACATTTTAGATTCATTTTATGTACCTTTTTGTTTTTTTAATAGACACAAACATGACATTTAAACTACACTGCTGAGAGATGTCATGTGACCTGTATTTACTGAGGTGAACAATGCAGAGCTCTTTGCTACTTGAAAACATACAGTATGAATCTTAAATTGAAAGGCTGATTTTTCCAATCCTTTGGCACCAGTGTTGGGGGTAACGCATTACAAGTAACGCTAGTTACGTAATCAGATTACTTTTCCCCAAGTAACCACAGGTTATTTATGCAAATAATAATTATAATAATAATAATAATAATAATGGCAGTCTGGGTTGGTTAGATAAAGTCTGAAAATACTTTATGACTCACAATGCAGACACAAACATTCATTTATATGTAGTATAAACAATACAACTAGAACTGTACAATGCAAATGGATTATGTGTAATATAATAGACTCTGACACAGGCCTTGACATTCACGATGAAGTCAAACCAGAAGATCAGGGCTGGAGTAAATTTTGTGATGTCAGATGTTCGGATTGGAGGAGAGAAACTCAAGCCACTCTGTCAGAACAGGATGTTGCACCGGGGGCTGAAAACAGTGATGCATGAATGAACAAACTGAATTCAGAAATGGCAGAGAAAAACATTGCAAGGATCTGAGCTGGTAACATCATGGCCTCCTATAAGAGGGGATATACCAATTACTTGGCTTGGGAACATTTTCAGAAAATGCTGGGTCTCAGTGCAGCATGATAGCCTCTCAGCTATGCTCACATCACATGCAAAAAGACCAATCTATTAAACGTGCATTAAAATGCAATTCATACATTCAATGACTTGAATGCAGCTCCTCTATGAGGAGCAAATTATGTATTAAAAATAATTTTGATATTTTTGGAGGAGCATTAAAAAAGTTTAAAAAAATTATACAATTGTTCTGATATCGTAATAAAGCAATAAAATAATAATAAATAATAATAAAATACAGCATCATTAAAGGGGTCATATGATGCGATTTCAAGTTTTCCTTTCTCTTTGGAGTGTTACAAGCTCTTGGTGCATAAAGAAGATCTGTAAAGTTGCAAAGACTAAAGTCTCAAATTCAAAGAGATATTCTTTACAAAAGTTAAGAGTCAGCCACACCTACCTAAAACG